AGCAGGCGGATCTTGAGTCGGAATGGCGCTTGCGGTCTGTCGAAGAGCTCCCGGCCATATCGCCTGAGGCACGCCCACGCTCCTCTGCTCCTGTAGTTGATCTCCCGGGTGAGGTCGCCATGTTCGTTGACGAGGCCACCGAGGTACCGGAACTCGGTCGTCTGGGCGTATTTCTGTCCCGCGGCTTCGATGGTCAGTGGTGGAGGCGGGGTGGGATGTGATGTTGTAGTCGGCTTGTCCTTTTCGCGCATCAAGAGCGTCTCCGTCTTCTTCTCCGACACCGTTAGCCCGAACTCCCCGAACACCTCAACGATGATGGTCATCATTCTCGCCAGTCCTTCTGCAGACCTCGATANGAGGTACCGGAACTCGGTCGTCTGGGCGTATTTCTGTCCCGCGGCTTCGATGGTCAGTGGTGGAGGCGGGGTGGGATGTGATGTTGTAGTCGGCTTGTCCTTTTCGCGCATCAAGAGCGTCTCCGTCTTCTTCTCCGACACCGTTAGCCCGAACTCCCCGAACACCTCAACGATGATGGTCATCATTCTCGCCAGTCCTTCTGTAGACCTCGATATGACGCCGGCATCATCGGCATACAGCATACTGCCCTCCGTACTCGGTCAAGGGGTGTCTCCTCCCCCCCCCCCCCTTCCGTCTCCGTCTTCCCCTCCTCCAAGCACACCAGGCTCCGCAGAACAACATCATCCTCGCTGAATCGGATGACAACGACCTCGACGACCTCGGCGAAGAAGATGTTGAACAGCAGTGGGGATAGCACACATCCTTGTCGCACGCCCTGTGTCACGAAGAACCAGTCCGATAGTTCTCCGTCGTCCATGCGCACCCGGGCCCGCATTCCATCGTGGAGTTGGCGGATGACCTCGATCAGCTTCGGGGGAATCCTGGCCCTGGTCAGCACCTTCCATAGCATCTCTCGGCCCACCTAATAATAAGCCTTGTTCAAGTCGACGAAGCACATGAAGGGCGGAATTTTCTTTCTCCGCCCCACCTCCTGGAGGCGGCGCACGACGAACAGCATGTCGACGGTGGATCGCCCGGGTCGAAATCCGCACTGTTCCTCCGGGAGGATGTTGTTGGCTTCGCAGAAGGCGCTTAGACGGTTGGTGATTATCTTGATGGGGACTTTGCCTACGTGAGATAGTAGCGAAATCCCCCTGTAGTTGTGCTTCCGTAGTTGTGCTTCCTGACGTTTGGTAAGGGCCTGCTCCAGCGCTGCTCGCGTCTCTGGGGTCTCACACCACTCCTGCGTGCGGCGTCTCCGCGGTTCCTCCCCCAGGGTCGTCCGCGCTGCGTCGAGCAGAGTATTGGTAAAGTCGGTCGCCAATTCCGCGGCGGTGGTTGTTCGCTCGTCCAGTCGTGTGTCGAGGTTGAGGAGGAACCGACTAGTCACCGCACACCGTGCTGCTTCGAACTGCAATTCCCGTCGGTTGTATTGCTTCTGTTTCGGTTTAGTCCGGACTGCACGGTTGTGGGCAAGCCTGCCACCGAGGTTGACTGTGGCTACTACCATATTGTGGTCTGAGTCGGTTTTGGCTGGGCGAACAGGCTGGGGGATGACGACCACGTTAGATACTCGGCCGTGATGTGCCTGCCTTGTCAGGATGTAGTCAAGGCGCTTGCAATCGTTTCCCGACACACCGTTGTATGTGTGCCTATGAGAGTATTATAGATTCGTTTTATTTTTTGTAACCATCTAGACTAGACTGGTCTGACTCATACCGAAGAGCATTTGGAAGAGATAATGGATGGACTGAATGAGGCAGAGGAGGCTTTCTGCGCCCGACAAGAGGGTTTTTCTGGTGTTNCATGTGTGCCATATTCCGCCCTTGGGTGTCTCAAAGAACGTTCGTGAGAGCTAGCCTGTTTTCCGTTGCGAAGTTCAACAGTAGCAT